AGAACAATGTTTCTTTCATCTTTAAACAGAATTTAAAATGAAAATTAAAAACAGTTTTTCACTTATTGAACTCATAAATATGATTGCCACCTGATGTCCAAAATTACTCCTGCCAAAATTCTCATAAATAACTGGACACTAGACCCAAAAGTAGCAGGTTATAAGAATTCACTGACCTTTGGGGTTTTCTTTATTTCTTTTCTGAGATTTTAAACAATGGGTTGGTTGCTGTCTACACTGGCAAACGCCTTCACAAGAACCAGCAGGTGATATTTATCTGGATGCCAGGGTGCCCATGTCAAGAGAAGACAGATGCTGGGGCTGGCCTCTCCCTGCTTCTGGGCATGCTTGCTGCCCTCAAGGTGGAGTATATTTCATCCATGGACCACATGGTGATTTGGTCCAGCTTTCTCCCAAGCCCAGATCCTTCATGATCACAGTGGAACTAAATGCCAAGAGCTAATCTACCTAGAGTTTGATGAGATGCCTCTAGTGTCCATTTCAGCTTCCTTTTAAGAGTTATCCAGTTAATAACAGTGAACGATAGTCCACACCATTCACACACGTGGAGAGGGGTGTGGCTGGAAGAGCGGAAGTATTTGCTTTGTTTTTGTCTGTATTAGGTAAAGAAATTAAAACAGCACTGGGCTTTTAGATTAGCCACTGACCCATGCTACCCAAAAGAATGGGATCCAACCACAGCCAGGTGTGCACCAGCTGGTCACATGGTGGAGCTCAGTACAGCACTTATTTATTTTTTCCTAAAACTTCAGCTCACTCATTCACAGGTGGCAATGGAGAAAACAAAAACTCAGTAAATTTTATGAAATTGTGGCATTGTTTCCTCTTGGTAGAAAGATTTTTGATATCAAGAAACCACAATATTATTTTTATCTTTTATTTCTCTCTCTCCAGCTGCCGCCACAGGAAGACCCTGTCTCAAAAAGATATATATATATATATATATATATATTTGAGACAGTTGCTCTAGCTGGCCTGGAATTCCCTATGTAGACCAGGCTGGCCTTGATCTCACAGAGATCTGCCTTCCTCTCTGCCTCCAGAGTGCTGGGGCTAAAGGCATGTGCTACCACACCCTGGCAAGATGATATTTTAAAGTATGAGTAAATGTTTAGCAGATTGTGAAAAAGTGAAGAGTTGATAATAAACGTGTTCTATTTTAGTCATTTAATTTTGTAAAAGACCCTTCTTCTAAATATACACTAAGAACCCAGACTCAACTTTCTTCTAAATATGTACTAAGAACCCAGGCTCTGCATTTTCTCCACAAAGACGCTGTAGGAGACTCATCAATTACATCCCACGATCCATTATTCTTTCTCTTTTTCTGAGCCCAGATGAGTAAGTTGTCCAGGAGGATCAGCAAGTCCTGGAAAACATGTAGAGTACCCATCTCTGCCTGTGGAAGGTGTTCAGATCAATCCCACGCAAATGCAGCCTCTCTAAGAAGGGTGTCTAATACAGTTCAGATCTAGGACAGAGTCCTTGACAGGTGGGAAGGAATTAAAATGAAAGGATTTCTGATCCTTTGGCTCAATCAGGGGCAAGCATAAAGCTACCGCTTAGTAATGTATCAGCACTGTGTAAGATTAGAGACAGCAAAGGAGTCCCAAAGTCATCTGGGGACTTCTCTTTCTAATACAGAATAATAACGTGATATAAACACAAACATCTTCACTACACAACACAAAAGAAACTTCTGCACCTGTTTCGATATCACCCAATTCTATATATATTTGATGTTTTCCTCAGTAAATAACAAATCTGTGATATCCACACACACTGGAATGTAATTCAGCCCTAAAAAGCGAAACTCTACCATTTGCAGAAAAACAGGTATAACTGGAGGGCACAATGTTGAATGAAGTCAGTCAGACACAGAAAGATACACATGACCTGTTCTCTCTCAAATTTGAAAGTTTGAAAAATGGAAGACCAACCTGAATGGAAAATAACAATTACTGAAGATTAGGAAAACAGCGTGAGGTAGATAATGAGAGGCTGGGCTTGGTGAGAGCTCACTGTATGCATGCACTGAAGTGTCATGCCCAACCCTACAATTATACAATCAATCCAAATTAATCAAAACTGTAAAAAGTAAATAGCAGGGGCTGGAGACATGGCTCGGAGGTTAAGAACACTGGCTGTTCTTGCAGAAGACCCAGGTTTGAATCCCAGCACCCACATGGCAGCCAACAACTGTCCATAACTCCAGTCCTAGGGGATCCTACAGCCTCTTCTGTCCTCCGCAGGCATTGCACAACATGGGTGCACTTACCTACAGCAGGCAATACATACATACACATAAAATATAAATAAATAAAATATTTAGGGAGACCCCGTCTCAAAAAGACCAAAAAAAAAGTAAATAGCAAAAAGACAAAACTGAAACAATTCTAAATACAGGTATTTATAAATACCTTGTGGCACAGTCAATAACCTGTCACTACCTTGATTAACAATCTCCTGTCTTCCTCACATTGGGCCCATGGTTTCTATCCCTGAACCATGGGAAAATTAAGGCATGATTTATTGCTTGTTTGTTTGTTTATCTGCTGCTGGGACTTGAACTTAAGGTCTCATGCATGCTGGGTGAATGCTCTGCCACTAAGCTACATTCCCAGTCCTAAAGCATGTTTTTAAAATGCCTCCCTCCCCAGCAAACCAAGACAAAAAACCAACCAAGCAAACAAACAAAGAAACAAGCAAAAGCAAAGAGAATCACTCTAGCAAAAGCCATGTGTGCTTCCAACTTCATGAGGCTTTTCTGCTTCTCGTGCCCTGGCTCCTCAGCACACTGGGGACAAGAGCACATAGGGGATTTTCTTGTGGTGTGGTGTGCTCTTGATGTCTCTTCTGGGTTGATGCTCTGATTTCTTGTGGTCTTGGAAAGCAGCCTTCAGAATGATTCACCCGCGCCTCCATGCTCTGGGTTGTGTAAGACTCATCCATGCCCCAAGAGGCTTTGCAAATGAGGCAGTTGCCTGGTATCTGTGTCTGTCATCAGTCACTATGTCAAGGAAGAAGAAGTTCACCTCAAATCATCCTTGTGTGACTAGATTTAAGACACTACGTTGCTGGAGCGCATGAGTGTGTGTGTGTGTGTGTGTGTGTGTGTGTGTGTGTGTGTGTCCAGCTGTGTGCCTGTGTGAGTTACACAGAAGCACCTCCACTGAGCAGAGCCCCTTAGGCCAGCAGCCTTGGTTCCGTGCTTAGTCTTTGAAAAGCCCTATTTGGAACATTAGAAACATCTGGAGAAACCACATTTCCATGTTGAAATAAAGATAAGTTGTCATTTCTGCTACTCATTTTGAATTTACCCACAGCCTGATGAGAGGGATTTTGCCCTGAGCAGTTGAAGAGAGCATGCTGTAAGAAAAAAGGGAGGGAAGCAAAGGTTTAGAAGCTGACTTTATTGCATTCTTCCAGGAGTTTCCTTGACTGCCCCTCCAGACCCCTCCATGTCATCCCAGGGAGCTGGCTTTTGGGAGGACAAAAGCTGCAGAAATTAGGGTCCCAGCCACACGGCACTCTATAGGGGACATGTACTGGCATTACAGGAAAACAATGGAAGTTTTCCTTCTGCTAAGTTTAAATAATAATTTACCCTTACACCTAATAAAGCAGTGTCAAATGTGTCCCGCTTATCAAAAGCCTATGATACACTCTTGCTCTGCTCAGTTGGAGCAGGCCTCTACAAGGCAGCTCACCAAGCAGCTGGAGGAGGGTTAGTGATAGCTGATAACACTCCAAAGACTTGGCCTGTGCCCAGAACAGCCAACACTGGGGATGCCGATGCCCAGCAGGACGTCCAGCCTAGGATGCCCAGAAGAGGATGCCCAGCAGAGGATGCCACTCACCCTGCCCATCCTGCTCCCCCATTCCTCTAGATCCCACCATGATTCTAAAACACTGTGGGGAGAAAATCAGACATTTTTGCCTTTTGGCAAATGTAATCTGTGGTCTCATTACATTTCAAAATAGCATGAGGGCACCCAAGGAAGAACAATGGCAGGAGGGCATAGCTGGCACTGAGAATGCACCTTGAGCATCCACAAGGATCACTAGAATTCTTTTTGTGAGTGGGGCTGGCAGATAGGTGATCAAGAAAGCTTTCTTCGAAGGAAGCCTCAGCAGTGGGGGAACTGCACAGGTAAAGGACTCTCCTAGGCCTGTGTCTCGACTCATTCAAAGCAGAGCCAGGGAAGGCAGTGTGCTACCCAGAGCCCTGCTCCACAGCCTCAGACCCAGGCATTGCATGAGCACTGCCTCCTGGAGCACAGGGCTGTCCCCTGGCAGCCACATCTTCCTGCAGCTTGGACCTTCACTTGAACAAATGGAAAGATTCCAGGGCAGCCTTTGCAAGGGTCCTCTCCCACAGCAAGTATCCCGTTTTTCTCTTTCTCCTTGGGTAGACTGAAAGCCCAAGGGACTTTTCTCCACTTCCTCCAGAGCCCTGCAGCCCAGCAAGCCACGTCAATAATCATCTCTCCCCCTCCTGGAAATAAAAACTCTCAAACAACCCACACTTACCTCCAGTTGATTTCTAGTTCTATAAGGACTTCACTCCCCTTGTGAATGTGCTCACTTCACTGATACAGAAGAATACCTTTCAGTTTCAGGTAGAATTGTGGTAACTATCTGAGGAAAGAGGAAGGACGGAAAGAAGGAAGGAAAAAAGAGAGGGAGGGAGGGAGGGAGGGAGAAAGGGAGGGAGAAAAAGAGGGAGGGAGGGGGAGAGAGGGAGGGAGGGAGAAAAAAGAGGGAGGGAGGGAAAGTGGGAAGAAGGGAGGGAGGGAGGGAGAGAGGGAGGGAGGGAGGGAGGAAAGGAGAGAGGAAGGGAGGGGAAGAAATGGATACTTGGTCTATCAAACAAAGCAGATGAACAGCTATTCTGTTCTTCAGATTTTCTTTTGTCTTTTTACAGAATGAGTAAACAAGCCAGGCATGGTTGTGCATGCTTTTAATCCCAGCACTCAGGAGACAGAGGCAAGCAGATCTCTGTGACACTGAAGCCAGCCTAATCTCCATAGTAAGTTCCAGACCAGCTGGGCCTCCAAGGAGACCTGTCTCAAAAAAAAAAAAAAAAAAAAAAAAAAAGAACAAGTTAAGAAGTAAACCTGAAAACTCCTCTGAGTCTGGACCTCAGGCATCCAGTGTTCCACATCCCTGACATTCTGAAACTTTCCATTCCACATGGGTGGTGGATTTCTCATTTCCTGGCCTCCTGTGGCCTGTGGCATTCAGAACCCCACCAAGGATGGGCAGAGCCCAACACTTGCCTGTGCTCTCCCGGAGGCAAACTGGTGAGGGCAGGGGGTGCAGAAAAGGCACCTTGCACCTCTGTGACATGCACACACATATAAATGTGCACACACACATACACACATACACAAACACACATACACACATACAATTACATATATATTCATAAACCCATACACACATATGCATGAACACATATACATACACATATATATATATATATATAACCTTATACACACACACACACACACACACACAGAGCCAGGGCAGCTTGCAAAGAAAAAAGAATTGTGCACAAAAGCTCTCCCTCTGAGGCAACAGAGAAACTTTAATTCATCTTCTTTTTTTCTAATCAGGTTTTGTGGGTTTTGTGGGCAAAAGACAAATAAGAAATAATATGTACAGATATATGTGTATTTGAATGGCTATATGTAGATTCAGATTATATATGTTCATGGTGCATGTAGATAGCAATAGTTATGTAAATAGGTATGTAAGCACCAAGAACTGATATCATAAAATCTGGTAATATATTTGTGAAACCCTTTTTTACCTCTAAAACAAACTAAGGTGAGCCAGAGATAAACCGTAAAGTCGAGGCAGTACAAGCAAGGGAAAGGCATGCTCCACTGCAGGTTACGTGCCCACTTTCCCAGTCAGGGTATCCCTGCACAGGCTGCGTAGCCATCCCACACAGAGGCCACTTTGCTAAACTTCCATTTTATTTTGGAAAAAAATGCTCAGAGATGAAGGATGCTTGTGCAAAGGTCTCTAATGATTAATTTGGAAGAACTAAAATTCTTGAACTAAAAGCCCTGTCTTTTCTTTTTACAGGACTATTGTTTTGATAACCTGCGCAACACTTTTCTTTCAGGAAATTATTAGTTATCAAATACATTGACCAGCTTTCCAGCAATGTAAACTAGTAAGTGGGACCAGGCAGGGCATGTCTGTCTGCAGGCCTTCACTGAGGAAGTAAGTCACTTCAGTATTAATATGCGAATCTTGAAATACCTGTAGGCTTAAGACAAAGTCTGAAACTGTTTTTATATTTAGCAAAACTAAACTTTAGAGATATCTCTGGCCTCTTGATCACCATTCCTCTCTACTCTCTGTACTCTAATTTTGAGTAGAAAAATCAATTAGCATAATTTCCACCAAGCATTAGAAGGTTGGGAGTTGGCAAGCAGGATGAGAGAGCCTGGTCCATCAACCATGCCAAACTGTGACAGGCCAGCTCTCACTGAGCCTAAAGCATCAAGAACCTAACTATGTACATAATATGCTGGTATCCACAGCCTCACATTTCACATTACCAAATATAGCCATAGGCTTCAATACGAAGTGATTCGAAAGCCTGTGTCAAAAGAAAAGACCTACCCTGACCTCTGCCTGTCCCCACTCCAGGAGTACTGCTGGCCCACCTTCCCAGTCCTTGGAAGCTGTATTTAGTGGAGCTGACAACGCCTGTGCTGTGAGCTCTCAGCATCCTAACCAGGGCTGCTCTGGAAAAATGCCACACCAGCATCCCAGGTCCAGCAGGACATTCCATGCAGGTAGGGCTCAATTTATTGAATCACAGATTTTTGACTAAGTCAGTTTTTCACAACCATCAGAGCTCTTCAAATTGTCCTTGCTAAACAGCACGTAGGACCTTGCTCCAGACACTTTGGATAGATAATGGCTAATGGGTGGCAAATCCTTGCCATGATGTCATGAACTCACTTAGGAACAGATGCACAGAAGAGTGCAGAACAAGACTAGGATGAGAGGGAGCATTCCTTCATCTCCCACGTGTCTAGTGCTGCTGCATGTGCTGTGTGTCATATATATGTGTGCAGTACGTGTGCGTGGGGTGGAGGAGTGTGCATATGTGTGGTGTATGGTACATGTGTATATATGTGTATCACATGTGTGTCATGTGTGATGCATGTGTGTGGTACCTGTGGTATGTGTCTACATGGATCTGTGATGTATATAGAGGCATAGTTCATATGTGATATCTATGATTGTATGTGTACATGTATGCATAGTATATATGTGATATATCTTTATACCTGCGTATGCTATATGTGGTATGTATGTGTGTGTGGTGCATTTTTCTGATGTATATTTATATGTGATGCACTGTGTGGTGTGTATGTGTTTGGTGCCTCTGTGTTACATGTGCTGTGTATGTAGCATGTGAGCGTGTGTATGTGACATGTGTTCTGCATGCTTGAATTGGTAATCTGTGCCATAGGCAGTGTGTCATCAGCACCATTTTTCCATCCATAGTCTCAGTTTCTCATCACCAGTGCACCACGAGTGCATTGGCTGTTCACAGCACAGCAAAGAGAGATGCACTTACCGATTGCCAGACACTGTTTAAAGCTCTTGGACAAATAACTGGTTTCATCTTCGTGAAAACCATGTGGGATAGAGCTGTTATTTCCGTCTTGCATAGAACACTGAGGACAGGTTAAGACACTTGCTGGGCCCCAGAGGAAGGATCACAGGAAAAAGTAGAGTGAGGTGGCCCTAGCCGAAACCCTCTGCCTGCCAGCACTGCCCCACATCTGCCTCATGGCCCTTGGGGCCTGTTCTTGCATCTCCTTTCCACTGGGTTAGAATGTAAGCTGTGAGGCACAAACCCGAGGACCAGCCCGCTTCTTTTTGCACATTTAATTTAGACAAACACATTGAATACCATCATTTTATTGGTAGATTGCAACAATGTATAGTCTTCTTCACACTACCAAAAGGAAAGACCTTGTCAGTCCATGGTAGGCAAAAGATAGCCAGGCTCCAGGGAACATGGCAGCATCTGTGAAGGTGTATGTGAAGTTGTTGCTGAAGGAGAGTGTGGGGTTAGAGAATAATTACATTGCTTTGAGGCTTAAGGGAATATCAGCCAAAACAGGGACAAACAGCAGTAACGTGTTAATGAAAGGGTGCTCTTCCCCTTCCTAGTCCCCTCCTGTGCACAAACTCACATCACACATAGTGATGCTCACAGAACCAAGAGCCAGTGCTCTAAGAGTTGTTGAACAAAATCAGAAACCTTGCAGGGCAAGCTGAGTTGGGTAACACAGTCAGGCAGTTCTAGCAGAGACTTTCCAGTGCTGGTGAAAACTTTAATAACAATTAAGCAGAGTCCAGTCCTGACTCTGACAAGTCCTCTCAGCACTTGTCACTAATTCCCAACTGCATAGAGAAGAATCTAGAATGGCTGAGCTTGTAACTGAGCTCACTTGCTCACTTAAGCTCTCTGTGATTTGAGACCAAGTCTCCCTTTTGTGTCTTTGCTCAAAGATGATCTCTGATTTTTCCTTTCTACAGCTAATCAGCTCCAATTGCCTCTATGACATGCTTGGTCATCACCATGTGAAGGGGGCTTCTTGCCCAGAATGAGTCCATGCCATAATTAGTGCTTATGCAAGTCTGTGAATGCCTCTTTCACAAGGTTCCATACCCTCTGCACAAATGCATCCTGGTCTCACCAGCTCCTCCAGGTTCTCAGCACATCCTACACATTTAGCAAAACACAAATGTCCATTGAGCAAATGAAACAGCATATCCCTTTAAACATTTCATAAGACAAATTTCCAATCTAAACTCACAGTAGTCACTAAATTGAGAACATTTTTGTTCTCATAAAATTAATCCCGTAAGTGCTTCATTGTGTAATATGATCTAATTTCCATTGAGAACGTCTTCTGTTTATAAAATGCTGGCTAGTTTTATCCACAAAGTTGAAACGACTATTTGTGATAAATTATGTCACTTGTACCATAGGCAGTGCACTATTTCTCAGTGTCAAAGTACACAGTGAGAACCCACTCTCATGAGAATCTGACCAGTAGGAACACAGAGGCACCCCCACTGGATTTGGGAGCTGGTGACAAGCATGAAGATGATTTTAAAGGAATGGTTAAGGTCAAGGCTGGATTCTCCTTAAAAGTTATTAAAGTTTTCACCAGCATTGAAAAGTCTCTCCTACAACATCATCTGACCATTCATATTATGATCCTGCATAGCCCAGAAAGTTACTCATTGGCTCAATAGCAACAGCTTCCATCAGCAATTTGATTTCTAATGAGCATCTTAATCACCATGGCATGGTCCTTAATACTTCATTTAGATGACACTAGTGTGGATATGATTTTTACAGTAAAAATAATGATAATGTCAATCTTGTACCTGTCTGGGAGGTGGACTTCCTCTAGAGTATGATTCTGTCAAATAAATCATGTGAGAGCAACCTTGAAAACAATAGTTGCAGAGCTATATGCAACATGTGTTCATAACTGCAAAACTTAGAAAAAGCAGCAGGTTTGTCTGTATGCATGCATGTACAGATATATATGTGTTGGAAATAACTCAATGGGAGGTTTTTGTAAAACAAAACCCACACATGACACTTTCAAGGAATAAAGTGACAAGAGGAAGGGAAATTAGTAGTTTATCCCTTATAAACCCTTTGTAGTGCTTAACTTACTACCAGGAGCATGTTACTTTTTTTTTTTCACAAAAATTATCTAACAAAATACATCCAAAAAATAAATTTTGATGGGATAAAAAGCAGTAGACACAAAGTAAAGAGGGTTTGGGGAAGTGTTTAGTGTTAAAGTTTAAAACAGCACTTAGTAATCTTGAAATTCTAGGAGAGAAATTCTTTATTCTAATTTGTGTGTGAAAGAGAAAGAGGAGAGTGAGCTAGCAAGCAAGCAAGAGAATCACCGGGCTAGCAAATCATTCTTGTTCATGCTATTTCAAGCTTGGGATCTAGTAACTAATATTTTCCAGTTAATGAATAACTGTTATGTTATTATGGGATATATAACTACAACATTAGAAAGAAAAAAGTAACAGTCTTGGTCCAGAATTGGAAGCTAAACTTCTGCTGCTACTTGGAAATTGATCTCTGGTTGTCCCTGGTTCTGTGAGACAGAATGTAGTCTAGCAATTCTACAGAAAATTTCAATAGCCAGGATGTACAAACAGCACTGCCACAGAGCCTAAAACCAATTTGGACTGTATCAACAGATACACCAGAGCAAGGGAGGACACACCACATCCAGCCTGCTTCATCTTGGTCCCGTATCCTCTGAATGAGAACGAGTTGTCTATTTGGGAGTCTGGAGCACACAAAATGTTGCTGTAATTGCTCCAGCATTTTAAAACTATTTTTACTTTTGGTTATAAAATAAAAATGTATTTATCAGCTAGATCTTTTCAGTTATATAAGGTTTTTCAATAGACAGATGTATCTATATAATAAAAATTTAGTGTCTTAAGCATTTTATTCTCAAGTTAGTTTTTTTGGTAATTAGGTTCCTGACCTCTGATTATCTACAAGCCCTCCCTCTCGTTGCCAAGCTAATTTGTCCTGTTGCTGCTGCTGACTCTACTGATATTAGAACCAGCGTCTCCAGGCCTCCATCATTGAATGAGGATCAGTGGCTCTGCAGGACTGCCCCAGATTTTTTTGAAGCCAGACTGGGACTTCTGAAGCACCCAACCCCATGGACTGAGCAATTGTGTTTCTTGGTCTTTCCAGTATGAGACAGCCATTGTGGGGCTCCAATTGGTGAGGTACCCAGCCTCAAAGTGGAGCAAATACTGGGTTCTCATGTGTGGGACAACTCTGTTACCTTTTCACCATAAGCAGCCCAGACAATTTCTTCATGCATTTGGCCTGTCGATTCTGCTCCTCTGGAGAATGCTGTGCAACACATTCAAAGATGAACTACTTTTTTCCAATGATCTAAGTCTGAACATTTATATGAGTTTTATTTTCAGAATCATAAATATATGCATGAATAGTGGAATACTCTGTTTTAAAAAACTGAGCTAGATAGATGGCTCAGTGGTTAAGAGCACTGGCTGTACTTCCAGAGGACCCAGGTTCAATTCCCAGCACCCCAAGGTGGCTAACAACCACCCATAACTCCAGTTCCAGGGTATCTGATGCCCTCTTCTGACCTCTACGGGCATTGCATGACATGAGTGCACTTACATACATGCAGGCAATACACTAATATACATTAAACTAGAGATAATAAATGTTAAATGGTCAAAAAATCACAGAAAAGTGAAAGCACATGCAAAGGCATATATGTCTATGTATCTTCTATCATCTGCCTATCATCCATCTACACATCATTTGTCCGTCTGCCTACCTAGCATCCGTCTATCTATCGTCTAACCATCGGCTTGTTATCTATCTATCTACCTAATATCTGTCCATCTGCCTGTCTATCATCTCTCTGTCTCTGTCTCTCTGTCTATGGATGCCAACTTACAGCACCAGTTCAAGTAAAAAGAGCCATGCTGTATATATTCTCTTTCATCTGGCCTCTGGGTTTCAGCAGTACACCTGTGGTTCATCTGCTTCTGAATGCAGCTGCTGCCCATTCCGTGTTTGCACTTCTTAGAACTCATTGCATGTACACACCAGGAATTGCAACCATTTCCTTGTTGTTGTTGTGTTGTTCCCAAATTAGAGGCTATTACGAATAATGTGGGTATGAATATTCTTGAGCAAGTTCTTAGGCTGCATGTGAATACATTTACAGAGGACAGAAATGTCTAGATTTTGTAGTTAATACCAAACTACAGTCCCAAATGGTCACCATCAAGACAAAAATGTTGAGTAACTAATGGCTTGCAGGACCACAAGGACCAGAAACCTAATTTGAGGATAACTTACTTATGAAATTAATTTGAGAATAATTTACTTAATAAACAAAACTGTATTCTATGACTATGTATTTTTCCATTGAAATTTATGACAATAAAAGACCAGTTTTTATAATTTAATTTTCTCTTCTCTCAGTGTGGATGCAATTGAATTCTCTGGAGGTTCCTAATTCAGCAAGTGTTGGCTCCATAGTTGCCTTTGTTTTCTAAATCTCCTGAGAAATACATGAAAACTGAATTAGTAGATGTGACTGTGATAATAAGACTATATTTAAATTTACATAGCCATATGATTGCTAGTTCTTTAAATTAGCCACTTGGCAAACTTAGACATTTGTAAAAGGGAGCACATCAATTAAACAATGATGCATGTGGTCCCTGCCGGCCTCGTTGGCAGTGTCGCAACCGCCCCCTCTAAGCATCTTCCACATTGCCTCCACAGCAATCTTCCAGAAACCTAGAGGAGCCCCAGTGCGCCAATGTGCTAACCCTTCACATGGCTTCCTTTCATCCAGGTCCAAGTTGGAGTCCAAATGGCCTCAGCAACTTGTTCCTGGCATCTTCACCAATTCTGTTTCTATTCAAATTCACTGTATAAAATGATGCGCATTTGGCAGTCTTCTGAGTGAGCTTTAAGCATTAAGGCACATAATTTTAGTGTCCGTTCTATAAAGTGGGCACCATTACTTCACCCTCGGCTGTACAGTGCGGTGGGACAGGAAACTACCTGGCTAGTGTCACCCCCAGTCCCCGTACTCAGCTTGCGTGGCTCTGGGCCAGGTTGGTTTTGACTGTTTCCCTCACTTCTATGTGCTCCTTCTTCTGCCTCTACACTACTGCATCCTCTTCCGGCTGGGTTACCTAAGTGCCCCTGAGCACACACTGGTGCTGACAGCCTCCTCCTCTGCTCAGCTGTGGGGCATTGTGACTTCTTGAGCCTTGGCTCTTCTGAACTTACCTGGTTCTTTGGACTTGTATATTTTAATGAAATTATTATGTCCCTAGCTGTGTCCTCTCCTAGAGTGATCTGATCAATGGTGACATACATCCGTAATGATGTAGAGCCAACTACTCCCACTTTTAGAAGTGTTTCTATACTGATAACTATATGGCTAGAGAAAGCATGCTTTACAAGGTGCTATTTACTGTTTGCATTTCTGCCTGAGAGAGGCTCCTGTTTACAGATTCTCTTCACCCGGATAAGTATTTTCCAAATATCTGACACAAAAGCACCCTGTGAAGCTGAAGGCTGATGCAGAGCCCAGTCTTTGTTGCAGGAGCCCTTTTACACTCTGGAGATCAAATGACTGAAGGGAATGTGTAGCGCAAAAACTAAGTGCGTAGTGAGCACAACCTCTTTAAGAATTCTGAGCGTGGATTTCAGTTCTTGGCTGTGGATAGGATTTGGCAGTTCTCTGGAATATACAGGACTATTACTTGAATTTTCTGAAATAATGATAAACTGAATGAAATGCTAGTTTCTAGAGACTTTCCAACAGGCAATTTTGTATCACTGACAGCTACTGGGTATGTAAGTTACAGACTGTGATGGCTTACTCAATAAACTACACTTGAATTGGATAAATCCTTGCTACTTATTAATGGGTATCTAGATATAAAGTCTTATAAAGTTGGGTATAGATTATTAAGAGCTGGCATAACTAAATCATCAGTTGTCTGAAGCAGCAGTCAATGAAAATCCCAAGACGCATGAAGAAAGTATTTATGCTTTGCACTTAAAGCTTAGTTTGAATTTAGGTGGGCCCACATACGTGGACAAGTAAGAGACAATGCTATGCTTCTCACGTGGTTCTCATTGACCTTGTGGTGCCCACAGTCAGACTGTGTGGAGCACCCGGCTCAGTGCCTGTGAATATCTTACTAAAAACATGGCACTGAGCCCTGATGGTGAAGTGTGTCATGTGCACACACATGTGTGTTTGTAGAGTCTTTTTCATTACTTGCAGCAGTTGCTTGGGTGCCACAGAATCACCATAAACACTGAATTAATGAGTCCTAAACTGAATTCTAGGAACATTGTGTTCTTATAAGTCTTGGGTCACAACATTTTCATCAACTAATCACTGCATAGCTGTGCTTTATGTGCTACTGTTTAAGGCCCCTCACATAATACATACCCTGGTTGCTTAATGCCGAATATGTGGCCAGTAGCATTGTAAGTCTTACATGTGCAAGGCTGACCTGACATATTTCCTCCATAGGACACATGACAAGTCATCTCACACTTAGAATACTAAACTGTACTTCAGTAGGACACTTGATGGAGGGCATTTAAAACACTGAAATTACCAATAAAAAACACAATAGTGAGAAAGTGAGCATAATTAGATCGTAAAAGGAAGAATTGTTTGCAATATGAATGATGAAACAAGGGCAGAGCATCGCTCCAGTAGCCCTCGTGCTGATACCCACGGCAGGACAGAGTTACAAAGGAAACGGGCTTAAATATCTCACAGTTCTAAAGACTGGGGGTGCGTACGGGCACCACATCACATCACTGAACAGGAAGCCAGAGAGAGACTGGCGTCCCCATATACTGCCCCGTGTATTCTCATCTATTTTCTTCCATTATGGCAAAGCACTGCAATATGTAATTACAGAACGCTCATACATAAATGTCACCTTGTTCTTGCTAAGTCATAAGTGGCAAGTGATGCTGCATCCAATCTGACAGAGCTAAGACCAAAGGGCAGAATTAGAATTTTTCTTCTTACTCCAATCAACAAGCTTCATACTCTCCAATCATTAGGTAGCATCCAAGTTAAAAGTTCCCATTTTCTATATATTTTCATCATAACTTACATTTTACCAGCTGTGACTTGTCCATAAAATGATTAAATCTGGGTTTGCACAAGCTTTCTGTTGTGTGGCTGGAGCTCTGTTTACTTTGGCTTGTAAAGTCTTCTGTTCCACCTGTGCTTTGCAAAGAGGAAGCACGTTCTTTACCCACACAAAGGCAGTTGAACAAATGGCTTCCCCACTCCACTTTCCCACTCAGCTGTAGATTTGACACAATTGTAAAACCTTCCAAAACTGAGAGCCAATTGCATGGAGTATCTGAATGAATGACTTCACAACAGTAGGGGACAACAGCTGCATCTCTAGAATGGAATAGGTTGACCGGTTATGCCACTGTGCAGTGGCCTTGATCCCATGAGGTCTTCTCTCTCATCTTTAAAACACCTTAGATATAATTGACAAAATAAGTGAAAGCGAGAGGGAGGAATGCACCAGTCTAGGGATCACAGGACCTGTAGGACGGAGAGCTCCTTGCCCTCCTGGGGCCTCCGATTTGTCTCAGATAGGGCACCACAGAAGCCTCTTTTTAGGTATTTCTTTTTATGCATTAATACAATATTTTTACTTATTGAGATTTCATACATGCATACAGTGCATTTTGAACATCTTCACCCCTCCTCCCATTTAACCTCTCTACTCCCTCCAACATGTCTCCTTCCCAATTTCATGTCCTTTTTTTTTTTTCTTTTTATAACTCACAGAATCCAATGTGCTGCCTGTATAGGCATGACAGGGCCATCCACTGGAGTGTGGCCAATTGACCAGGGACCACACCTCTAAAGAAAGCTCACCCGCCCTTCCCTAGCAGTCAACTGTCAAAAGTTCCTCAACTAGGGGTGAAGGCTCAGGAGCCCCTCCCTTGCTCCATGTTGGAAAGTAGGAAAGTTTACTGGCTTGACCTTGTGCAGATCTTATGCCGGTGACCACAGCAGCTATGAATTCATGAGTGTGACACCCTGTCATGGCCAGAAGACAATTTCCCTGCAGTCTTCCCTGAGTTCTAGCTCTTACAGTCTTTCTGACTGCTCTTCCTCAACGTGTTGTGAGCCTTGGTGGGAGGGAGTTCATGGCTGAGCACTCCACAGACATTTGTTCTCTGCACTTTGACCAATTGTGAGTCTTTGTATTAAGTGCTGTCCATCTCTTACCCAGAGCTGCTAACACATGCACAAAGAGAATTCTTTGGTCAGTCTTTTCCTTCTGGAATCTCCCACACCCCCACTGCTTGAGAATTTGTTTGTTGATTCCTCCCCTGCTCCAACAAGTCACCAGTGGAAAACATACTCCCCTCCTTACATGTTCTCCCAGTTCCTCAGCCTTCTCAGCTGGGGAGAGGAGATTCAAGCTTGTGTGTTTTCCTCTGCCTATGGTACCTTGCAGGATTGACTTAA